AGGAAGTAGCTGGTCCCATTAAAGAGTGCTCAATACACATAAAGTGTAGAGCTAGTTATATATATGATATCAAAGAGGCAAGATTTTGCTGTAACTCCGAGTTTCGTGCTACGCACTCATTAAATACTGTCGGAGTTACAGCAAAATCTTGCCTCTTTGATATCATGATCTCACTTTTTCAGTTAACGGTGATAAAACGACTAGCAATGCATTGCGGTCTTGTAATACACTTCTAATACACTGTTGACCTTAGCCTGCGTAGTGGCTCTAGGGGAGGGGCTGAGTTCGAATAAAATAAATGGCTTACCTCTCGAGATGTCGCTAGAAACTGCTTTATTCTTTAGATTAATTCGAAAAATGATAGTCTTGCTTTACGCTTTTAGTAGCCTGCGTAGCCAGGCCTTCTTAACCGCTTCGAGGAAGTTGCTCCTTCGGCCCAAAGTCTCTCGAAACGGGAGAATCTACGTAGAACTCAGTTGATGTAATATATTCATAAAGATATAATACAAAACACATAATACAATAGAACGAGAAACAATGGAATACAATACATTTTATGAATACATTACATCAACTGCGTGCTACGTAGGTCAGCCCCTCTCGAAACGCCTAAGGACGCCTGGATAAGGAGATAACACTTTAGTTGAAAGTACCGTCTGAAGAGTAGCTATATAGTAAAAATATAGTGAATACGCGTAGCCCGTGTGGTCCTTGTGGTTTTAGGTTCGAGGAATTCGATAGTTGTACCGTTACGACAAAACTAGTGTCCTACCCTCCTTCCCAGGCAACTTTTTTTTCTCCTATTTTGTAATAATAATAATAATATTGATTCTTAATGTTATTAATAATAGTAATATGCTGTATTTATCTAGTTAATTTTGGAAATAGAAATAAAGGAAATTATTATTAAAAAAGGTTGACCGCACTTCAGTAGGCTGTAAGCCAGGTTTACATGTTTGTGTGGGGTGGTAGTGTATTCGATGGCCTCTCTCTCCATAGCCACACGTAGGATAATGGCCGCACTTCAGTAGGCTATAAGCCAGGTTTACATGTTTGTGTGGGGTGGT